TAACACTGCTTTTTATGCTAAACATGTAAAATATGAGAAACAAAGAAATCTGAAAAGTATTTATTACAGTACTTGTTAATACAGGCTTTTATTTAAATATTTAACTAGATTGTGGACAAAATATAGAAAGAGGTTATAGTAATTAAACTACTGTCACATTATAATTAAAAACCAGATTAACACTTGAGCTCTGCAGTGGCCTCGGTGGTGTTTGTAAATGGAAAAAAAAATCCCTCACTGAAACAAAGTACAAAACACCGATTATATAGTTCATTATTGGGAAAAGTTGATGCTTGAAGGACCTCTTCTTCATGAATGTGAATGGCTAACTGCAGAAAAAAATCTTGAAAGCTCTTATATGTGGCATCAGGTTAGTTGGTGTACTATGAAGAAATGTTGCCAGTAAAATAAATATAGGGGTTTAAATATTAACTAGCTTTTAATGTTAGTAAAAGATTAGATTATTTCGGTTTTGGAAAATTTCACCCTGGAGGAATTCAATTCTTTAATATGTTAGAACAGTTTTGGATTTTTTTGATAAAAATCAGCTTTGTTGCTGGGGATTTTTATCTCTCAAATGCATTTGAAAACTAAACGTTCCTTATTGTTGTGAGCAAAACCTCCAAGCCTCGGTATTTAAAGGATTATTTCAAATGGCAAAAGAATATCAACATTACAAGATCCTATTCTTTCCAAATGTTATTTGAAATTTCGCTCTCACGTATGATAGATAAATATTCTGTCAGGGGAATTGTGTTTTAAACAGTTATAGTGGTGTCTTGGTCAAACCATAGACTGTCCAGTGATATAAATCTATTAGGATGTGGCGTGATTTCTCATGTCATAGAAAGGTGATTTATGTCTAAGTTTTTTTCTTTAAAACATCAATTTTAAAGATAGACAATGATCAACCAGTTGCATGTAATTTAGTCACATAATTTTCCTGCTTTTTAATAAAAACGGAGACTAGCTATTGAGTCATGGTTAGAGTTAGATTATAATAATACATATGGCATTATGTATTAGAGCTCTACCATATGAAAGATGCCTTTTTCTCCAAATAATTTTATAAATTCTCTCATTGTTTATAAACATTTGTCTGTGTCACACTTTACCTAAATCCCATATACCCATCAATATTTTCCTTGCTCGAGCGTTGTGCCCCATTCTCTGGGATCTTGTGGTGTTGCTCTTTGTATCTGTTCGTATTGTCTGGTTGCTAATTGCCTGTCGGGGGATCTCGGGTCCCTGGAGCCTCCTAGGTGAGGTCAGAGTAGGTAATTCAATCACACGCGAGCTGCTGGGTTTCCCAGGCAGGGATCTCAGCTCTTTGACGTTGGAGCAAGAAGCGAGCCCAAGTCCAGTGCTTTGTGTCTAATGCAGGAGGGGTTAGCCATTTACCCCAAACGCCTTCACCCAAATAAAAGTTAGATATCTATCTAACCTAGCAAAAACTTAGAAGTTCAAAGTTTGACGGTGCTTGTTTGTTCATGCCTTGGCTTGTAGCTCTTATCATGTGCCATATGTATTGTATGGCTATTTCACACAGCTCAGTTATTGTGGTTTCATTCATCCTTTAGCCTCTTACAATATAGAGGCTCACTTTTTCTGTGTGAGCACCCTGATTTTCTTCAGAGGCAGCTGAATCACTAGGTAGTTTTAGATAAAGTCTGAGCTTAGTGCTGTATTCCTTGAACAGGCAGGAGTAAACAGAGGTATAAAAAGTGACTTTGTCCATTTTAAAATTGTGTCTTCAATCTGAGTTTGTGTTGTCTGACCTTTATTACGCCATTATGTTACACCGTTACATGCATAACGTTCAGAAGGCAGCGATGAAGAAATGAGAGCAGTGTCGCGTGTTCCTCGAGGAAATGTACGTGCCACCTGTTTTGAAATACTGATTTCGTTTTTTTCCTTTTTTTTTTTTAAAGTTGTGTTTTTACTTTCTCTGCATATGATTAATTTTATTCAGGTAAGATACTCTTCTCAACAAATGTTAGGCATGTCTATTCTGTGCATTGAAGAGCTGCATGCAGAGCTTACCCACTTTGAGTATGTGGTCTGGCTGCTAGCCCACATCACAGGCTTTTTATTTTGTCTTTACGGGTATAAAAGTACGTGTTGGACACCTGTCTCTGCCTTTCTGCAAGGCTTTACGTGAAGTTTTCTCAAAACTTTAAACTAACACGGTGTCTTGGAAGGAAGATGTTGTTTAAACTCTCAAATTTCTAGTCTCTGCTTAACCGCTCACCAGGGTGCTGTACAGGTGCAAAGAAACATCTTTACACATTGAGAAATAAACGGGGAGGTGAAGGGTCTTAAACACAGTCATGCCTAATTTTAAGACAACTAATAGTTCTGTTCCTTTTGAGAAGAAATTCTCATGCTTTTAAACACCGATGTGAATGTTTTGAAATGATAGATATCAGGAGACGTGAGCTCTGTGTTACAAAGAAGCATTAAACGTGGTGATGTCTCCCAGAGACTCTGCATCTTTAGTTCATGGGGCACGCAGAATCAGGGTGTATCTTTAACCAATATTTTCCCTCTTTACTGACTATCCTGCTAAGTCCATGTCTTCTGGGCGTCTAGAGGTTGCCCCTGCTATGGTCCTACGGATTAATCACACGGACTAAACTTGGTTGTTAGCGCTAGCATGACGGGACCTATAGAAATATGGTTAAGCTTGTCATTACGCTTTTTCAACAAAAATCAATCTGAGCGCACAGCGTTTTTTTAAAAACACAATGCACTGTGAAGCCCTTTAATCAGAAGGCTTTGTGACTTGCACACTGGGTTTATTTGCTTATTTTAGTGTATTTGGCAGAAAAATCAATATTATAGTATAACTCAAATAAAAATAGGCAATATATAGTACTTCCCGTGGAAGAAGAGAGAGAGGTGATTCTCAAGTTGCGCCTGCTTTCTCTTCGTCATGCTAGCATGTGCCAACTTTATGCTTAATAAAGCCAACTGAAGTGTAAAGTACTTAGTCATGCAACTAGCGTTATATTTAACTCATTTTAAGTTTATGCTTCCTGAAATCCACCATCCTTTCTGTTTGAGCAAAAATATTTTAACCCACACAATTAAACAGAGATCTTGGAAAAAGCCACTCAGCAGCCACTGCTCCTCCTAGCAGTCAAAAATATATAGTTTTTAGCATCTCTGCTAGGTGGTGGGAGAAGAAGAGAGAACATAAAGAAATATGTATGTATATACTGATCTACTTATGTATATATACTATGCATGAACTCTTACGCTACAGAAAAATCCACTTTGGATGATTGTACATCCCGGTCAGTATAGGAGACATCACTGAAGTTTTGCCAAATTCAGCATGTTCTCCAAAGTTATGAGCGCTACGAGAAACCTCAGCTGGGCTTTGTGCTTGCTAAGCTCTTTAGTAGACCTTATAGCGTGTATGGTTTTTTCATGCACTTTAAATCATAAAAACCCCGAATGTTCATCCAGACCAGACTACATTACAAAGGATAAGTTTCCCCTAGTCTTCAAATATATACATATTCAAGATGTTCAGTGTTAGTAGATCAAACTCAATTTTTAAAGGGGTGCATAAAGATTATATTTGTTGTTGCTTCATTTAAAACTTTGTATCGCCTTCTGCGCTCTACCCCAAAGAGACTTTGGTTTGGTTTTTTGTTTTGTGATTATACGGCAGTGCTCTGTTTATTCTTTATTGTTGTATGATAAGAAAGTTGTGACAAATGTCTATTTAGACCAAAAAATAGGTACAGCAAATAACTGGAAAGAAGTTGGTAAAACTATATAAATATATTATACACAAGCGTAGTATATTTGCTATCTCTGTGTATATATTTATTATTTTGTAACAGCAACCGGGAACTGCAATGCAGTCTTGGTATCTTTGTTCGTGGTACTTCACACACACCGGACAAATGGTCCCTGCCTCACCAAACCTAAAGTATGTGCTGTGCAAAGGGTGGTATCATACAGAGTTGGGAGCCCGCATCTGTTTTTTTATGAAATGCAGATATTGTACTTACACGTGGGTAGGTACATAATTTTATTTCTCTAAGTGTAAAATTTAAAGGATCAGATGTCAGAAAATGTAATTACTGAATTTTAAATTACAACTTATAACTTCAGTTTTCTAAGCAAAAGAGACAGATGTAGCTGTACTGCTGTATCCACATGTATTGTAAAATATATTTAAATCGTGCGTATGCAGGGAGACAAATGGGAGAACTCCACCATCCAAATATTAAATTACACATTTTGAAGCAAAATAGTGTTTTAAGTGTATGTGTATATAATGCGTTCTGTCACTGGATTGCTCTCCCTGATGCAGTTAGACGGAATCTGTATTTAGCCAGAAGTCTTTCAATAGAACGGGCTACCAGATGGGACCAGTAACAATGCAGAGAGGCATCGAACCACCACAGACATTTGGTGCTTAGAATAATAAAAAGACTATAAAATTAGATTAGTTGAGTCTAATTTGGAATTGGTATATTCCCTATGCACTCTCACAGCTCTTGGGCAGATAAAGCCTGGAGATTTAGTACTGTCAGGACAGAGGACTCCAACTTCCAGTAAAAGAAAAAAAGGCATTCTGGGAGGTCACGGAGGGCAGCACAGTGACCTCCAATGATTTACAGGCCTTTAGCTTAATGAAATTGTTTCAGTGACATGACGGTAAAAGCTCATAATGGATTGGATGCCCTAATGTAATGAAATTACTCCCTTCTGCCTTTAAAAAAAAAAAAAAAAAAAAAGGCGCAATTAATATTTACTGAGACCTGACAGGCTTCAGTGTGCGGTAGCGTGCAGCGCTGTCAGACAGCAGCGAGCAGAGCCAGAGCAGCGTGGCAGCTGAGCAGCCCTGCGCGGGGTGGCGAGCAGGCGCTGCGAGGGGGTGGAGGGACACCTCGGTGATGGGGAAGCCCCCAACCTGGCGCTCCGAGGCAGCTCTGCCCGTACCGGCCAGCCTTCATCCTCTCCCTTCCTTTCTGCAGGCAACTGGACAACAACCAGATCAGCTGCATCGAAGATGGAGCCTTCCGAGCCCTGCGCGACCTGGAGATCCTGTGAGTTGACTTGGTGCTGTGCTGGGGCGGCGGGGGGGTGGCTCTCCCCGTGCTGCAGTGCTGGGCGAATCTGGGGGCTTGATATCCTTCCTTCCCACCTCAGACCGGTGGTATAGGTAGCAAAGTGAAATCTCACACTTCCCCCAGGCTGGGGTTACTGCTAATTAAACCACAATAGACGACTTCTCTGTTACCGCTCCTGAGGAGCAGGGATATTGCCGTGCTCGCTGCTGCGTGGAACAGATGGGGTTCAG